GGGGTCGGGCAGGGGCGACGGGACCGGGGGGGGGGGTACGACGCGGCCCAGGAGGGGCGCTACGGGGCCCAGGAGGGGCACGACGGGGGCCCAGGAGAGGCGCTACAGGGGCCAAGGAGGGGCGCAACGGGGCCTAGGAGGGGCGCGACGAGGCCCAGGAGGGGCGCTAAGGGGCCTAGGAGGGGCGCGACGGGGCCTGGGAGGGGCGCGACGGGGCCCAGGAGGGGCGCTACAGGGCCGAGGGAGGGCGCGACGGGGCCCAGGAGGGGCGCTACGGGGCCCAGGAGGGGCGCGACGGGGCCTAGTAGGGGCGCTACGGAGCCTGGGAGGGGCGCGACGGGGCCTGGGAGGAGCGCGACGAGGCCCAGGAGGGGCGCTACGGGGCCCAGGAGGGGCGCTACGGGGCCTGGGAGGAGCGCGACGGGGCCCACGAGGGGCGCTAGGGGGCCTTGGAGGGGCGCGACGGGGCCTGGGAGGGGCGCGACGGGGCCTGGGAGGGGCGCTACGGGGCCCAGGAGGGGCGCGACGGGGCCCAGTAGGGGCGCTACGAAGCCTGGGAGGGGCGCGAGGGGGCCTGGGAGGAGCGCGACGAGGCCCAGGAGGGGCGCTACGGGGCCCAGGAGGGGCGCTACGGGGCCTGGGAGGAGCGCGACGGGGCCCAGGAGGGGCGCTAGGGGGCCTGGGAGGGGCGCGACGGGGCCTGGGAGGGGTGCGACGGGGCCTGGGAGGGGCGCTACGGGGCCCAGGAGGGGCGCTACGAAGCCCAGGAGGGGCGCCAGGGGGCCTGGGAGGGGCGCGACAGGGCTAGGGGGGGTCGCGACTGGGCTAGGGGCTAGAGGGGTGAGCGGAAGCGATAGGTGGGGGGGGATTCTACCTACGCGTGATACCATATCAGAAATGAATACTTGAATGATAGATAGAGTGAGAGTACACAAAGATATACCTAAGTGTTGTACTCTCTAAGAGGCGACCCTATACAGTCTATACAAACATGACAAATACACATGTTTGACAGTAGTCCCTCTACAGTAGGATTCAGTAAGTAGCACAACCAAGCCTACAATTATATATATATATATATATATATATGTTATAATTTAAAACACCCCCTAGGCTTGGTAGTCGCAAGCCCACCCCACATGCAACAACTCTAAGCCTAGCACCCCCATACCCTACAGCAAAGGTGACTGCAGGGAAGGAAGGCGATAGGCATCCTTGAGCTGTGGTGGGGCGGAGCCAGCTGGCATGGCGAGCTGGGACCGACGCTGCGAGCTGGGACCGACGCGGCGAGCTGGGATCGACGCGGCGAGCTGGGTCTAGAGCGGAGAGCTGCGACCGACGCGGCGAGCTGGGTCCGACGCAGCAAGCTGGGTCTGACGCGGCGAGCTGGGTCTAACGCGGCGAGCTGGGTCTGACGCGGCGAGCTGGGTCTGACGTGGCGAGCTGGGTCTAACGCGCCGAGCTAGGGAGGCGCGGCGAGCAGGAGTAAGGGCTTGCTGCCTAGCGCCTAAATCAGTGCGCGGCCCACTGCCACCCGTGCACTGACGCGACGACGGTGGCACGACGAAGCCGCCACGATGTGGTGTCGAAGCCACCACAGCACGTCGAGGCAGCCACGGCAGCACGACGAAGCCGCCATGGCAGCACGGCATGGCCGCCACGGCGGCATGGAAGTAACAAAAGGGGAAGGAGTACGCGGTAGAAGCGTGATGAGCATGCCCGAGCAGACGGACCTGCTTTGAAACCATGTCAGAAATAAGCTAGGTGGGTAGAGGAGCCATTTAATGGCGAGTGGTTTTAGGAAGGAGAAAAGTTACGAGAGAGAAGAGGTGTTGGACTAGAAGAGAAGGAGATACAAGAAAGGGGATAGTCCCCTCTACATTAGGATTCAGTAAGTAGCACAACCAAGCATACAATTATATATATAATATATATAATTTAACACAACGTACACGCCAGTGATAGGCTGGCGCAAGTGCTCTACAACAGACCTTCGCTGTATGTTGACAGCAGTGGTGGTGTTTGCGCCACCTGGAGTTTACAACACACGAGGGTACTCGCGTGACTAACGGAACGGGCTGGTCAAGTAGCAGTGATCACAGTTGGGTTGGGTTGGGTTGGGTGTGGGAGGGAGGAATGTGTCTAGGTTGCGAGGGTTGAGAGGGATGTGACTGGTTGCAGAGGACATCGCCAAAATTATATAGGTTGGGAGGGGTATGGGAGGGGTGTGACTGGTAGTGGAGGATATCAACTTATACATACATTTGCATATAGAAGTTATAGGCTAGAATAAGTGTGTGTTCTTAGAGAGTACAAACCAAACCCTATATCTCCCTTGTTCCCTCTTCCTTCTAATCATTGCATTATTCTAACAGAGGACTTCGGCAAAATATTCCAGGTTGCTGGGGGTATGAGATGGGTGTGAATGAATGAGTGGTTAAGGAGGACTTGGCCGAATTTATATAGGTTGCGGGGCGTATCAGAGGGGTGTGTGTGGGTGAGTGACTGGTTGCAGTGGACTTAGCCAAAATTATCCAGGTTGCGGTTGCCATGAGAGGCGTGTGTGTTCAAGTGAACGAATGTCTAGAACAAGGCATACAAAAGAATATAACCTAATGAGTTGTACTCCCTAAGGCACAACCTTATAAAGTTTACAGAAACATATAATCTATGTTTGACACACCCCCTAGACTGGATAGGGGCAGTGCCTGATGAGAGAGAAATAGCTAAGGGGGGCACTACTAGTCCAACCACTGGGAAGAGGCCACAAGGCTAGTCAAGGTAATATATATAAAGGTCTGTACACAATCAATATCCTAGCAAGTGAGAGGCTACAGGAATGAGACCTAGCTGTACACAGTGCCGCTAATGATCTTTAGGCGCAAGCGTCTTAGTAAAGATATCAGCTGGGTTGGCACCTGAGGCCAAGTGTACTACACGAGCCTGGCGACGCTGCCGCAGCTCGCGCAGGAGGAAGTACCGCAGCTGGATGTGCTTCGCTCTGCCCTCAAGTCGTGGCTCCTGACACAGGAGGATCATGGCCCTGTTGTCAGCGTACAGAACCGGGGCAGAGCTAGGCCACTCATCCAAGTCGTCTGCCCAAGAAGCGTCTGTGTGCCCGGTAAGGACCACCAGTCTCCGTCCTCCTAGCACTAGCCTCATGCCCGATGTACTTGTTAGATAACGCAAAACCTCCTTAGCTGCCGACTAGTGCTGTGGTCTGTGTCTGCCTGGGGCCACAAAGCGAGCCAGGATGCTGAGAGGGTATGCGAGATCTGGACGAGTGCAAGTCATCAGGTACATGAGACAACCCACCAGCTCTGCGTAGGGACCACTAGGCTCTACAGCCTCCTCAGGGACTGTGGCAGAGCGTCTGTGGTCTACTGATAGAGGGGTGGGCTGTGCGGAAGAGAAATGAAGGCTGAACCTATGAAGGACCTAGCGCAATAAGTGTGACTGTGTGAGAGTGATGGTGCGCGCTGCTCTGTCCCTGGAGATCTGCAAGCCAAGGTAGTCGCGCAGCTCTCCTAGGTCAGTGCAGGTGTGTCTCCTCAGCAGCTTGGCCTTTACGACGGCCAGTGGGTCTCTGTCTGCAGTAGCAAGGCCAGATCGTCTACGTAGACAAGGATGTAGAACGAAGTTTGGCCGGAACGGACAAAGAGCGAGGGGCCTGCAGACGAAGGGAAGAACTACAAGTCAGCAAGTGTAGCACGCAGCGTGTCGTGCCACTCACAGGGCGCCTGTCGCAAACCGTAGACGGGGCGCTGGAGGAGCCACTTGGTGCCAGGGGGGAAGGTACCGGAGAAGCCCTGGGGGCGGCGCAGGTAGACCTGCTCATGTAGACTGCCCTTGAGGAAAGGTGTGGAGAAGTCGAGGGAGTGCAGCTCATAGTCACGCTATGCTGCTACGTGTAGCAGCGCCCGACGAGTGGTCATCTTCGGGGCGAAGGTCTGAAAGAAGTCCACCCCCTCACGCTGACTGAAGCCTCGAGCGACGTAGCGCGCGTGATAGCATGTTAAACTAAGGTAATATAACATAATACAATGGAATATAACCTAATGAGTTGTACTCACTAAGGCACAACCCTATGTAGTCTACAGAAACATACAATATATGTTTGACAGGGTGACTGGTAGCCGGAGGACATAGCCGAATACAGGGAGTACAGGAAGAAATCTAGGGTATACCCCTTATTGAAAATCCATCAGAGTGGTATATGGACCAACTCTGATAAATCAGAGAACATCTTTACTTAAAAAAAAAAAAAAAAAATCCCCAGGACCATCAGAGTGATTTTCAAAAACGACTTTGATTTTCAGAGAATCAGAGTGATTTACAGTATCTTGACTAAGATAAATACCTTGACAGATGTTAAGGCTAGGTTTCTTTTGTAATTTGCGGGAATGCTTATACGGGAGCATCCAAGGTCGGAGTGGGTGCGTGGGGTCGAAGCAATCTGCGTGGATTTTCCCTGGACACGTCAACTTCTGGGTCAATGTGACGCATTACGAGGCGCATCCACGTCAGATTATCCTCGTTGGGATTTCGCCTCCGAAACTGCGATGATGTCATGTTGCCCCTCTTCTGCAAGCAAGCCACAGCTCAATTTGCACACCGTGTGTGCAAATGACGGCGGGCGATAGAAAATATGTTCGTCCAGTATTATGTAACCATCTTTTTATGCACGATAGCTGTTTCGAAGCGATTCGCGAAGCCGTACGTCATCTTTTTTGCCGAGCGTCTCACCAAAGCTGGAGATGAACACTGGGATGTTGACGCGTGGTGGCGATGATAGGGGCTGACCCTTTCCAACCGTCCGCAAGCCCTCTCGCCCTTTTTGCACCGCCTTACTGCATTTGCCGAGCCTGGTCCCGCTTGAGAAAGCACGATGAGAAGCAGATGATGCGCTCCCCCCGATGAGTGCAAGATTTTCCATCGCTCTCGCGGCAAAATCGAGGCGAGCTGATGTTTTCTGAGTTGGCCTGGCGTTCATTTCCTGGACCAAGTAACTGCTGGAAACCTCGGGATCTTCTGATGAGAGAACCTCAGGGGTTCAGGAGTAAGCCCCAGCAGAAGACAAGGCAGGCAGGCAGCCAGCCATCAAATCCGCTGATGTGCTTTCAGCGAAGGGAGGGGAAGATCCACGGTCAGGCTATTTCGCAGCAGCGACTGAAGCAGGCTCCTTTTCCGCTAAGTGCTGTTGATGTTTGGAGGGATTTCCAAAGCCGACATCTTCGGTCGAGTGGTCGAGTGATGTCGTCGTCTTTGTGAATCAAGCTCGCTTGTCCGTCGACGAGGGTAGTAGCTCACACGCTCACACCCATGGCTCCGATGCTCCAACACTCAAAACACTTTCACGACCTGGCTGCTCCCTCGTCCACCTTCCTGCCGTACTGGCTTCAAGATCGCTTCAGAGGCTTCTCGAGTTGCCACGAATCGTTCTAGCGACTGTCGATAGTGAAAAATGAAGCGATAGTGAAAGAGGCAGCGATTCTGACAGATAGACTCCCGAATAAGCTACAGTCACGGCTCAGCAAACCTTCATGACTAGGCATGGCTATATCGCCACCCGGTGTCACGGGCTTGGCGCCGAGAGTCTTGCTTAGAGCATCCACTGGTACGACGTTAAGTGCTAGTGCTGAGAGCGGCTTCTCGCTAAGCGTCACTAGGGAAGCTTCCGTAGGAGAGATCAGTTTCTCGTCGCCGGATGACTGTAGGGTTGCTCCGCAGATTTCAGCTACTGCGACCATCGATCGTTCCTGGGACACCGTGTTAGACGCTGAGCTGAACGGGTTGCTGCGAAGAAAACACCTTACTGCGTGTAATGCTTCTGGCTGCGACGGCGACATGGAGGTCTCAGATCGCGCGCCGAAATTCGCGAAGGAAAGTGACGATGATGTTTCGCACAAGGCTTGTGCGGAATCTACAGACGAGGTTGGAGCTAGTGAGAGTTGGAGTCCCTCTGGAGAGTCTGACGGCGAGGAAGGAGCAGGAGCAGAGGCAGCGCCGAGCCGTGGTGCCGTCGAGGCTTCAGGTGATGGGAGGCAGCATGAGGAGGAGCTTCGTGTGCCGGATTCAGTCGATACCGCTGCTGAGTCTCTGACCGTGGCAGAGAAAGCAGCGAACGCAGATGAAGCAGAGGAAGGAGAGGAAGCAGCGGAAGAAGAGGAAGCAGAGGAAGAAGAGGATGCAGAGGGATGCCGGAACAGAGACTCAGGCCGTGCAATTCGAGCTTGCTTTCAAGAAGATGTCACTTGACCCCAACGCAGCTGAGTTCACCCCATCCTTTGCGCCTTGCCCATCAGCAGCAGCTGCGACGTCAGCACCATCAGACCACACGCCTGACGCCTCTGCTGCTTCTGCTGGTGTCTCCGCTGCTGGCTCTTCCGCCAAGGTTTATGCTCCGCCCCCTTCGTTTGCCGCTGATGCACCAAGTTGCCCCCTCCTCTCCATCGGCACAATTCCTGCCGCCAATCCCAACAGTCCGTTCCCTACGATTTCTCAGGTTGTTCCTATAGGACCGCGGGGTCCTCTCCCGTGCCTCCACGTGGCAGCAGCCGATGGGAGAACGCTTGGAGTGGACGCGGGGAGAGAAACTCCCGTGGAAGGCAGAGTGGGGGCAAGAGTGGGGGGCAGAGTGGTGGCAGCAGGAGCAGCAGCTCTGGCAGCAGCAGCAAGCATGGGAGCGTGGAGGATGTTAAAGCTTTTCCCATGAATGCATTAGGCGCTTATCATGACTCGCGTTTGTCTGGTACCGATCGTTCTGCTGCTGTTTCGGCCTGGTGCTGCTGCTGTTGTCACTGAATTCGCGGCTGCCTTTCAGCACTCCTTTCAGCACCCTTTTCCTGCTGCTGCACCATACCAGGTGGCTGCGATGTACAGCGCTCCTTACAGTCTCGCTATACAGTATCAACCCTCACCTTTTCAGCAGCAGCAGCAGCAGCAGCAGCTTCAGATGCAGCAGCAGCAGCTTCGGATGCAGCAGCAGCAGCCGCAGGGAGTTGCTCCTACTGAATACTTCCAGCAGTCACAAGAGCCAGTACAGTCACAGCCAGCACCGATATACTCACATCCGTTTGTGCATACTAATCCCTACTTACATGTACAGCCACAGGCACCTACACTCGCACACATGGAGCCATATCACGGCTTCAGGGCTCCTTATATGGGGTATGGAATGGGGGAGGATCTGGTGCCTCCTCCCCCTCCCACGCCCCCCACTCCCATGGCTACAGCAGATGACAGGGTCTCTCGAGTGGTCATGCTCTCTCTGTTGCCATCACCTGAGCAACTACCTGACTCCGTTCTGGCGCAAGAGATAGAGAAGACATGGGGCCCTCTGAGGTGAGCCGGAAGAGCTGATTTGAAGAAATGTGACTGCACACTCACCCTCAGCCACCAAGCTTCGGCTGGACTCCCATTCCCCTGGATTCCGGGTCCATTCTTACCGCAGAGCCAGTTGCCATGTGAAGCTAGTCAACCTGCAATGTGTTGGGATGATTCTGTCTCCTTCCCTGTCTCTCTCCTCCCTCTTCTTCCAGGTACCTCGACCTATCCCGTCGCAG